CTAGTATTGGCTACTGTCAGAAGACAGGACACTGGGCTAGATGGACCTTTGGTCTGACCCAATATGGCCATTCTTATGCCTGTGAAAGAAGCTGCAATCACGAAAGAGTCAACCTAGATGTATTTATTAGTGGCCATTGCTATATGCTAGGTAGAGGACAGGCAGTGTAGTCTAGTGGGTACTACACTGGACTGTAACTCAGGAGACCTGGGTTCTATTCCCTTCTCTGCCACTGACCAGTTGTGTGACCTTGGGTATGTCACTTTCCTTGTTTTGCTCTGTTCTCCCTCTTCCCATTTTTTGTCTCTTTAGATCATAATCTCTCTCAGTGCTTCATTTCTCCATCTGTAAACTGGGCAAGCCCCTTCGTTTTCCGTTTAAACCCGTTTTTACTGACAAAATCCCGGGTTTTACAAAAAGTATTATTCCTTTTTTTCCGATTTTCACCCTACTCTTGTATTATTCAAATATATAAAAATAACTGGTTTTATTAGGGAAATACAATACACTGCATGAGATCTATGTATTATGATAATACATTAGTCTGTGTGTATATGCAAAGCTGCTTGTTGAAATAAGACTATGCATTAGTCTAGAAGATGCACACAATAAACAAACAGGCCTGCACGCAATCTCTGAAGTGTGTGCGCATCTGAATATACTGATGAATGTCACGCCTGCCACGTACACATCTCAAGTTGTTAGCAGATAACGGTTTAAAGATTTGACACACTGAAATGGGAAGAAAATGAAAATCTGTCACAGAATACGTTTCAGAACACAAGAAAGTATTCAAAAGTTAAAAAAAAAACAAAAACAGGGGAAAAGGATGAAGTTGAGTGTATGTGCTGCAAATGGTGTATCCCAATTATTAAATGTAAATATTTATAGGCTAATAGTTCTAAATCTACAACAGTAAAACTGTTTATTCAAATGAACAGTTTTATTTGGGGATTAGAGATCTACTGTTTTCGTAAACTCAGAGAGGTGTTTTGAGTTGTTTTAGTTCTGCAGCAAATGAATTCCATTCATCAAAGCATTAATTTACTGACTACTTTTTCCTCTGTCTTTCTGTCCACCAAAATAAACCCTGATATTTACCCAGAAACAATTATTAATAGTTTTTTCCACCAATTTTCACCCGTTTTTGTTGATGTAGAAATAAACACAGATCAATTCCTGAGAAAATAAATAAAATAAAAACTGAAAACAAAGGGCCCTAAAAATAGGTAATAACAGTGCTTGCTGTTTATTTAGACTGTGAGCTCTTTGGGGCAGGGACTGTCCTCAATACGTGTACGTACAGCGCCTAGCACAGACTAACTCTGATCTCAGTCCCTGTCGTACAGATAATAAGGAAAGAGGTACTACTGGTGGCCAGCAGGAGTGACCAGCTCCCATCAGGTGCATCCCCGGGTAGGGGAACAGGTAGGGGAACGTACTGCAGATATGCAGGACAGCTGCAAATGCTCAGTGAGTGGTGACATCTTTGCACAGGTGGGGTAGCGTAGCTGGTGGCAAGCTATCTCTATACAATGCTACTTAGGCCCAATGATGAGGATGTCCAGGTGAATAAAGACCGCTTTAATATAAGTCTTACTGGGGCAGATGGGACTCTTCAGCCGTGTCAGGCACTCAGCTAAGAGAAGGGAAACGCCGATTTCAAACCCAAGGCATCAGGCATGGATAGCCAGGGACGGGTGTAAAGCCTGTGAAGACATGCTCATGTGAACTGATATCTAGGGTGTTCCCTGCGAGCAGCACACAACAGCCTTCCTTGCGTGTTGTAACAGGGCAAGGAGCAAGTGAGTAAGCGGAGATCTGCACGTTGGAAAGTAGGAACGCTGACTGGGCGAAGTTTGGAGCTATGTCTGGTCTTAAAGGGGAGAAGAATAAATGTGACGTGTGCAAGAGACCAACTGGAAGGGTTGCAAAGCCAAGATGCTGGCAGAGGGTTACAAAATCCTCAGGGAGTTCAACATCCTAAAACGGTATTGGAGTTGTTCTGGATGAAACCATGAAGAAGCATGTGATAGAGGTTACCAGAATGTCAGACGGACTGATATGTGTCAGACTGTTCTGGGAAAAGGTAACGAGCCATATAATACGGGGGTATTTACTAAAGTTAGGAGAGGATCAAAGAGTAAAAGAGGAGTTTTTCGATGAGTTGTTGTCCTTTATTGGAAACGTACCATCCAACGAGAAGATAATTATCAGAGCAGATCTAAATGCGCATGTTGGAACTGGAAAGACTGGATATGAAACTCCATGGAGGGCAAAGAACTGGAAACAGAAACTCCAAGAGAGCACGATCCGACAGACTTGTCTTGCGCTGGGCTTAGTGATCGTAAACACACACTTACAGAAGAGGGAAAGCCACCTTGTAACTTATGCTGGTGGAGGATACAAGTCCCAAATGGATTTCCTTTTAATGAGAAGAAGCAACAGATCATGAATAATCAATTGGAAGGTAATACCCAGCAAGTGCATTGTGAGACAGCACAGACTTCCCCTTATGGACATCAGAATGCGGAGACTTTGGAAATACCTGAACGCCTGGGCTCCAAAAAGGCCTAAGCGTTGGAAACTTAAAGATGGTAGTGAAAAATCCTTCAAACAAGGAGAAAGGCGTAGACTTACTCACACAGGGATGTGTGGAGGACGCCTAGTTCAAACTAAAGTTGGCTCTGCTGGAAACGGCACATGAAGTCCTAGGAGTGACGAAACCAGTGGCAGATAGGATAAGAAGAGAGACTTGGTGGTGCAATCCTCAAGTTCAAGACTCTATTGAGGGGGGGAAAATAAGATCACCTTCAAAAACGGGCAGGCCAGTAGCTTGAGCGGTGATAAGATGGCATCTTTTGAGGCAAAAAAGGAGGCTAACAGAAGTGTTTTGCAGCAGCTAAAAGTATGGTCTGTGACAAACTATGTAACTGACTAGAAGGACATGAGGGAGGGAAGACCATCTGTAGACTCACCAAGGCAAGAGAGAAGATGATGAGGGATGTGAACAAATTTGCTTACATTAGAAATGAATATGGCATACTGCTAATGAATGGGGAATCAATCAACAAAGTTTGGAGTGATTATTTTGCAAGAGTGATGAATGAGGAATTAAGGACATGTAAGCCGAACTTGGATGTGATAAATTACATAGAATCATAGAATTGTAGGACTGGAAGGGACCTCGAGAGGTCTTCTAGTCCAGTCCCCTGCACTCAGGGCAGGACTAGAAGGCATAAATGAAGAAGTTGAAGAGGCACTTAGGAAAATGAAATAGCATCTGGCCCAAATGAAGTTTCTCCTATCTGTGGATGCGGTAAAGTCCTTGAGAAGCAAAGGCATCAAGTTTTTTACAAGTTTGTTCCATGATATTCTTAAGAAAAAGAAAATGCCAGATGAGTGGCATAAAAGCTTTGTGGTGCCTACTTTTAAACACAAAGGAGCTATTACACGGTGTGTTAATGATCTCCCAATTAAGCTGATGTCACAAGCTATGGAAGTAGTGCGGAAGAAGATTATTGAAAAGTGTCTGTGTGGGATGGTTGATATCTGGAATGGTCTCTTGCCATACGTCCTATCTTTCCTACGCAGTGGGATAGTTTCCAATCTTGAGCGCTCCCTGCATCAGTAATTGTAATTCCTCTCATTCTTCTTTCACTAACACTTTCTTCTTGTGCTCTCTCCCCCTCCCTACCCCTTAAGACAGCATCTCTGGTGCCCGAGTTCTCCTGACCGGAGCCAGCGCTGGGATCGGAGAGCAGATGGCATATCATTACTCCAGGTTTGGTGCTGAAATAGTTCTGACTGCCAGGAGGGAAACCCTGCTGCAGAAAGTAAGCGCCTCCTCACACAGTAGAAAGCAGAAGGGGTGAAGATGTGGCCATTAAAAAAAATAGGATGTAGAGCTAGTCAGAAATGTTCCACCAAAACTGTCTTTTGACAGAAAATGGGGGGTTTGACTAAATGAATTTTTACATGAAAAGTGTCTGCTTACTGTAGAAAAATGTCGATTTTTGTCTTTGCTGAAAAACACTCCCAAATCAAAATTGTTCAATTCTGAAATGCCTCTGCTGTACTTTTTGGGAGCTGTAGTTTGCGTGCCTTGCTCCCATTCTTGTCTATGGGCCAAAATCTCCAGCCAGACTTCATATCCCATGATGCAGTGCCACCATATGAATGCCATCATGCACCACCTCCCCTCACCAAGAGGGGATGCTGTGGTGCATCATGGGAGATGTAGTCCAAGAGGGAACCCAAACTATAGAGGAGACATGGGAGCATGTGACTCTGGACTACAACTCCCATGAGGCACTGGAGCAGCATTTCGGAATTGAAATATGTCCGTTCTCAAGCAAAATATTTGACTGAAAACTCAAAATTTTCTTTGAGGAGATAAAAAAACATTTTCCAACCAGCTCAAATAAGTTGGAAATACAAACTCATCCATCTTTGGAGTACGGAAATCATGTGAGAACAGGCCCAATGTAAGGTTCTGAGCTGATGGGAAGGTAAATGTAAGAACATTGCACTAGGCCTGGGCTCACCTAAGCCTGTTGCAGTGTCTCGTTCGGGCTTCGTTCACATTAAGTATTGGGGGTAGCCGTGTTAGTCTGTATCCACAAAAACAACAAGGAGTCTGGTGGCACCTTAAAGACTAACAGATTTATTTGGGCATAAGCTTTCCTGGGTAAAAAACCTCACTTCTTCAGATGCATGGAGTGAAAGTTACAGAAGCAGGCATTATATAATGACACATGAAGAGAAGGGAGTACCTGACAAGTGGAGAACCAGTGTTAACAGGGCCAATTCACTCAGGGTGG